CCAAACCCCGGGCAACGTTGCATCACTTCTCCCCCGCGGGTCGAGGGTGTCCGTGACGTCACACATGTAAACAATGGTCGAGCACGTAGGTTCGACTCCTGACTCACCCTTACCTAGGCTACATAAACACACACACACACACACACACACACACACACACACACACACACACACACACACACACACACACACACACACACACACACACACACACACTACCACCTCCCTGGCTTAACCTCGCATTCTCTTTAATCTCACAGTGCCTTCGTTTCAAGCACAGGGTGACTTATTACATGGTCAAGGTTGTGAATTTTCTTTTAGATGAGTATTTCCACAGATTATCTTATAAACACGAGGAATATGTATGAGGGGATTAATAAGTACACTTCATAATTACTATACTACACACACAAAACACTTTATTTCTTAAAAAAAAGCTTCGGGTAACACAGAATAAAACAAGGACACGCACGGGTAAGCCAACAGAAAGAGCTTAGTACTACAAAACGTTAATAGAAAAAGGAGCGTTGCGCTGAGCACGTCGATAGTTAAGTGGCTTTTGCAGCAATCATGATTTTCTCCCACGCCTCCTTCAAGAAAATCAATCAAGAGTACAAAAAAAGGGTAAGAACAATTTCGGCTACCCTAATCACGCCCACTTGTAGCGGTTAACTCCCAGCGCACGGCGCCCGTGGGGGAGGGAGGAGGCGCCCATACCAAGGGCAAATCTTACGCTCCTTGGCTGGGTCTTCGGGCGCTGTTTAAGAGCGCGCGGGTCACTCGGATACGAGACGCAGGCGAGCCCCGGGAGAGGCAGCGCCCCCGAGGACGTGCGCAGGAGCCATGCTCGGCCCAGGGAGCGAGGGCGGCCCTCCTCGCTGCCGCAGGGCCTTGCCGCGGCCTCGAGAACCCCCACGCCTTGGAAGTCCGAGTGACCACGTTCAGGCGAGGGCGCTGGGGCGAGGCAGGTCACGCCCACGGTTTCACCTGTGGCTACACGCACACGCACACGCACAAACACACACACACACACACACACAAACTTTGCTTCGTCATGATTATCAAATGTTGACTAAATTGAAACTGCTCAACCTCACTCATCCACACCACGCGCACACCGCTCCACATCAACCTGCAATTCCGTCCACGTAGGAGAAGAATACCGTCCATCGGTCTTCCGCTCTACCTGGAGCGCCCAAGGGAGTAGGGAGAAAGGGCAAGACGTCCCTCAAGAACCGGGGCGACGCTACGTGCGCGCCTCCAGCAGGAAGGAGAGAGAGCGCGCGCGCCCCTGGAACTCAACTACAGCTTCTCATCAAAATTCTTCGGATGTGCGTCTCGGTCACGAACGCCCGGAGAAGACCTCGCTCAGAGCATTATCTCTCCGGAGACGCTGTCGCTGAGGGCGACCGTGTCTCGCCGCGCTGTCCCCGCCATGTCTCTCCTGCCGCCAACTACGCGTCGACCTGAGGTCCCCAGCCTCGCTCCCTGGCCAGGTCCTCGCCCGCCCACACTGATCTACTTCTTGCTTGAGGAGGAGGTGGAGGTTGAGGCGGAGGTGGGAGCTGCCCCTCCTACCCCCTTCCCCTCTCTTCCCCCTCCCTCTGGAGCGGGTCCTGGTCACCGTGACCTTCCAGCGTCGGCGGCGGTGACCCTGGCTGGGCGGTCACCTTCACCGGTGCAGGTTTTTGCTGACCACCTTACCTGGCCTCGCTCCGGCCCTCACTCCACCCATATTCCTCTTTTATTTATAGCCTACAATTATTTCTCCCATCGACCGTTTACGCCAGTGCCGTCAGCGCCGCGCGGAGGCCTATGAAAACCAACATCTCGCGGGTTAGGCCTACGCTGGGCGATCTGTGAGTCGTCGACGGAGCCTGTCCTTGAAACATTCCTCCCGCCTAAAAATGTCGAGGCTTCAACGTCCCGCCGTAAAAAAAAGTCAAGTTTCCCCTCGCGATGGAACCCGTTTTTAGCAGCGAAGGTAGCAGAGCCCCACCAACGCCGCCAGGAACGCGCCTAAATCTCGATATTCTCATTAAAAATAAACACCGGAAGAAAGAAAAAACGAGATGAGAAAGGCAGGGTCTCGTGCTTCACTGGAGGCTCAGTAGCGAGCGATAGGCACAGCGCACCACGTCGTCCTGGCCGGCCTCCCACGTTCCGCCGACGATCCAAGCGACGATTAAAAAGGTCTTTTAGTTTTTAGTCTCGACGCAAGGGCTGAGGGGCGGCGCCGGGGGAGCGGAGGGGAAAGGGTGACTGAGGGGCGGGGGGTGGGGGGCGAAGTGCCTCTACGGCCTCGCTCTTTTCGTGCTATCACAGTTCCGCACCAGGACACAAGGACACGAGTCGGCAAAGGTACTCCCGGGGCGGCGAGTGAAGCACTTGACGACACATGCACCGCGATCGGCACAACGAGGAAATGGCAATGGCTTTATAGGTCGTCGCTAAACCGTCTTCATCAGGGAACACATTTGGAGGTGAAGTCACCGATACCTCTTCTCCTCCTCCTCCTCCTCCTTCTCCTCCACTGCTCATCCTCCCCCCCTCCCTCCTCCCAGCAGCAGCTTCAGGTGAGGCAGGTAGGTCTCCTTCGGCGAGTCACTCAGCAGTCTGGTCATGTCCAGTCAGGCAGGTCACTCGTCTAACCCGCCCGACCTAGCCTTGGGGCTTCTGACCTGCTCTCTTCATTCCTCCTCCTCGTTTTCCGCTTCCCTTTTTGCATTCCTTTTAATCGCCATCTTTTATCGACCCGCCTGCGAGGTAATGGCCACTCGCTCTGAAGTAACGGCGGCAATTCTCGGAAGGATTTACAGTAAAATACACCGTAATATATAGTCATATCTATCGATCTATCCCTCAGTCTATTTATCTATCTTTCTATCTGTCTATAAAAGCTTTGGCATTGATAAAATGAAGACAAATTCCCCCCATTCACCTTGGATTTCTATCAGCCAATCTCCCAAACCACCGGAACGACCGAGTCCACCGTAAAGCAGCGACTCATTAAGCAATTACCTCTCGGCTGGCGTCCTCGCACATCGGCGTCCCCGATTCTGCGCGATTCTGCAAATGGTGTTGCTTAAAGACCAAGGAATTCCACACAGCTTCCATCCCCCCAACCCCTACCCTCACGGCCGTAGCAGGCTTTCCCAGCGCGGCCTTCGTCGTCGTCAAAAGCCGCATCCGTCAACACAAATTGCAGCCTCATAAATGTTAGTCTCTGAATGCCTCTGCGTGTCTTGCCGGTATGGACTGGCTGCTGCCCCTGCACATACCCCGTCACCTGCCCCATGCTCTTGCTCCGTCACCTGGCCGTGCCCGTGCCCCTTCCCTTACCGTTGCTTCTGTTCCTCCCCCTACTCCTGCCCCTACCCCTTCTGCTTCTGCACTCTTCCCCTTCCCCTTCCCCTAATCCTACACTTATCTCTTCACCTCTCAATGTCCATGCCCATTCCCCAGCCTGCCCAAGCTCTTTCCCCTGTCCCTAGCGCTACACCTACCCTTCCCCTGTCAGCGAATGCCCCTGTCCAAACCCCTTCCCCTTCCCCAGCCTGTCCTTGCCTCTTCTCCTACCAAGCCCCTTACCCTGCCTGCCCATGCCCCTTGCTCACGCAGAATACCGCACCCCCATCAGGCATCGTTCAGACCAGCCCTACGCGCAAACCCACTCGGGCTCCAGCACTTCCGAGCGTCCAGTGCATCCAGACCCCGTTTTCTGTCGTTTCCCGAAAAGCGTCTGACGAACAATAACTGAAATGTAATGATAATGACTTACAAGGGGAGAGTCAATCCACGCTGGCGCGAGACTGGGGAGTTTCGATACATCGCGAAACTCCATATACACTAAAATAAATAAATAAAATGAATAAACGAGGTGTTTTGGGTGACAATTCCTAACGTTTTTCGAGCACGGGGCCCTGAGCATAGCAAGTCGTTTCGTCGCTCTGTGCCTCGCTAGCCACCACCCGGTACCCTCACCCCCAATATGCCACACTGCCTCTTCTACTTCCTCAGTCGACGTTCCATATATATATATATATATATATATATATATATATATATATATATATATATATATATATATATATATATATATATATATTACGTGTATCTTGAAAGTATTTCGGAAATAAAAATAATTATAGTAATGATAACAATAAAAATTGACAACGATAATATAAATACAAAAACAACAACATAATAATAATGATGACAATAATAACAACATAACAATAAATAATTCAGTACTATCTATCAGCACGAATACAGTCGATAGATTGCACCTCAAAGTCGTCTCAAGACTGAGCCTTTCCTACCCTCTGCCTCCCAAGCGCTTTCGTTCTAATTTCCATGGATCTTGAGATGGTCACCTTCCCTTTCTTAGATAATATAAAAAAGAAGGTATGGTTATTGATGAGAGCGTCTCGGTGCACGTGCCCGACATTCATAACACGGGTATCGGGGCTCGTGTTGTGCTTTTCCTTCCGCTGTCAAAAGGGTGTTTTAGGTATGGCTCCTTAGTTGATATTTCTTTCTATCTTTCTTTTGTTTCTCTCTCTCTCTCTCTCTCTCTCTCTCTCTCTCTCTCTCTCTCTCTCTCTCTCTCTTCTCTCTCTCTCTCTCTCACACACACACACACACACACACACACACACACACACACACACACACACACACACACACACACACACACACATACACACACACACACACACACAACTACATAAGCGAGCTACGGACGGCCACACAGGGACGGCCACACAAGGACGACTACACGGCCAACACAGCAGCCTCCTGGACATGGCCACAAGGACGGCCGCCCGCGAAGGCAGAGGGGGAGACGGAGGCAAAGCGACAACGAAAGGAGATCTACTTGCTACAGAGGAGGCGAGGAGGCGGGGAGGGTGGGGAGGTGGGTGTAGTGGTAGGGTGGGTGTGGCGGGCGGCGGGCGGGCGGGCGTGGGAGACTACCCTCTCTCCCTCGTGCTACTCACTTCCTTTACTATCGTCTCCTGGGGAAGGCGGCGGGCTCTCCTTCAGGTGGTGAGGGCTTTCCATCGTCATCTGGCGGAGGCTGCGTGCGGGCGGGGCCCACTCTGACACTCTCACCTCCACCTTGACCTCTCTCTCAACGACCTCCGTCAGGCCGCCCTCACCTCACACGTACCTTGGGGGGCTAAACCGAGGGGGAGCTTCCTTGGGGGGGTTGTGGGGAGGTGCAGGGAGGACGTCGGCGAGGGGAGAGACAAGGGGAGCTGGCTAGCCGTGCGGGCGGGGCGGGCGGAGGGGGCGGCGCGACCCTGCTGCTGCTGCTGCTTCTGCTTCCGTCGTCCTTGGCGCTGGCTTCGAGGGGGGCTTCTACGGCGCCATCACACCTGAGGGGACAGAGGAAAAAAGACGTTATTACCTGCTCCACCTCTCCCTAAAATGACAAGTCTACAACTGACAAAAAATGAAGAGAAAATATCCATATATGTATCATAAACGCCGCTATTTGCCTTTTCGAATGACGTCTTAAAGGACACCAAATCGTTCCAGGGACACGATAAAATGATAACTTTGGACAAAAAATCAAATCTAATTGCTCGAGACGGCCATGACATATTCCCTTCGCACGAGATGCTTTGTGCTTAACTTACAATGTTTTATCATTAAAAAAAAGCAGACAACGCAATTTCACACAGACACACGCAGGTAAATATCACGAAGCCACTTCCAGATACTTAACACAGATCCTTAATCACACCCTGCTCTGATTTACAAGTATCCGGGGAATGTGCAAGAGCGAAGCTACATCCCAACGCCAATTACGACTCGAACAGAGGGCATCAAGCAGTGCCCCTGTGACGTCACCATTTCTCTGGAAGATCAACTCGTCCGAAACCGTACTCCCGAGGGCGAGGTCAGCCGGACACGTGAGGCACTGGCCAACTTTCTGCTGCCTCCAAAACAGTTGTCTCTTTATTTCTATTTTTTTTTACAGACAACTATCAAAATACCAATGACCGCCACCGCTTCCCTCCCTCCCCTCCCTCCATCCTCTCCCCACCCACCCTCCCTCCCTCCCCATCCCTTCCCCAAACACACATAATCGTGACGAAACCATATTTCCCCCCCTCCTCGTTGTAATTGCTCGCCGGTCGCCCCATTACACCATTAGGCCCCATTAGCCGGCCTGCAATATCATCCAGTAACAAGGTGTGATTACCTCTCTATTGCTCTTCCACGGCTCTTTTTCCGAGTCCTCAACCCAAGAACCGATCCTCCTCGGTACGCTCAGTCTACTCACGTCTTACACGCCCATTAGAAAAACGCCCTTATGTCCACAGTGACTTGGTTCCACACATCCTTACCCCCACAGTGACTTGGCTCCACACACCCCCACGCCCACAGTGACTTGGCTCCACACACCTTTACGCCCACAGTACTCCCTTCTAGAGTCTTGGTTCCATATACCTTTACGCCCACGCTATTCGGTTCTTGTCCGCCCACGCTCCTATGAATAAAATATTTCGCGGGAAAGTGTCGGCGAGAGGAAATAAGTCATGAATGTTTTAATTTCTATGGGAATAATTTTCTCTCTGTCTCTATCTTTCTTCCTCTTTCTCTCTCTTAATCTCTCTCTCTCTCTCTCTTAATCAATCTCTCTCTCTCTCTCTCTCTCTCTCTCTCTCACCCTGGCTTTTTGCAGGGCATGTACACTGTTCTGTAAATAAATGTTATCAAATCAAATCTCTCTCTCTCTCTCTCTCTCTCTAATCTACCACTTATTTTTCCAATCCCCGCTTCTCTTTGTTTCATCTTTTCGCTCTCTCTCCGCCTAATCTGGCCGCGATTTTTCGTACCCTCGACTTCGTAATACACGAACTTTTGTCTTGTCATAAAGGCCTCTTTTCACCCTCGCTTTCCATCCTTCGTAAATCCGAGGTTTGTTAAAATATTCCGACTTCTCTAAGCCAACCTCGTAGGCTCTTCCGCGTTGGCACAGCTGATCTCTGGCGAATGGGCGGAGGGTTACATCTTTACGAGGCATCCCCCCCCCCTCGCTCTCTCTCTCGGTCTCTTTCTCTTTCTGTTTGTCTGTCCGTTTCGCTGTCTCTCTGTCTCTCTCTCTTTGACTCTCTTTGTCTCTCTCTCTCTATTTCTCTCTCTCTCTCTCTCTCTCTCTCTCTCTCTCTCTCTCTCTCTCTCTCTCTCTCTCTCTCTCTCTCTCTCTCCATCTCTCTCTCTCGCATGTGTAAATGAAGCCGAATTAGACACAGAAGACGCGAAGAAAGAATGGCCTGTGAAAAGATTCGAAAAAGGGTTCTCAGCGCCTTGTGTGTGAGGCGTCAACACACGTTACCCATTTTTACCCTGGCAGGAAGTGTGGGGGTGGATGAGGAAGAGAAGGAGAGAGAGAGAGAGAGAGAGAGAGAGAGAGAGAGAGAGAGAGAGAGAGAGAGAGAGAGAGAGAGAGAGAGAGAGAGAGAGAGAGGGAGAGAGAGAGAGAGAGAGAGGGGGGGGAGAGAGAGAGAAGGGGGGAGGAGGGAGAGAATGAGGGCGATATATATAGATAGATAGACTGATACATAAAGAAAGCGAAAACAGAGAGAGAGAAGACAGACCAAAACAAAGAGAAACGACAAAAACAAAGAGAGGGAAACGAGAGCAGCTAACCACCCAGCCACACGTGTCCGGGACAAGGAGCGCCGCCCAATGACAGATGGCACGAATGCAAATCCGCAGGTGATGATCCGACGGGTTGACAGGTGTAAGCGCGGGCCGGGGAGGGGGAGGAGGTGGGGGTGAAGAGGGGGTGGAGAGGGACAGGGTAGGGGAGGAGAGGAGGTGGAGAGGGCCAGGGGGAGGGGGAGTGAAGAGGGACCGAGGCAGGGAAGAGAGGGAGTGAAAGAGGGACCAGGGAGAGGGAATAAAGAGGGGCCAAGGGAAGAGAGGGAGCAAGAGGTGCCGCGGCCGAGGGGAGAGGGGCAGAGAGGGAGAGGGGGCGAAGGGGAACGAGGGGGGGGGGGGGCAGCTGCGAAGGAAGAGAGACCCTTGTCCGGCGGGAGACTCGCAAGCACGGCCACTTTCCTTGAGACTCCGATGGGTAAATAAGGCGTCGACGCTGATGAATGGACAAAGGAAGAGGGAGAAAGAGGGAGGGAGGGAGCTAGAGGGAGGGAGAGAGGGAACAGTAGAGACAGTGGGAGGGAGGGAGGAGAGGGAGGAGAGAGAGAGAGAGAGAGGAGAGAGAGAGAGAGAGAGAGGAGAGAGAGAGAGAGAGAGAGAGAGAGAGAGAGAGAGAGAGAGAGAGAGAGGAAAAGTAGAGACAGTGAGAGCATTGGTGGAACCAAAATCTCGAAAGCCCCAGGACAGAAGGAAGGAAGCGGATGAGGAAGTGGAGAAGGAAAGAATAATAATAATAATAATAATAATAATAACAATAATAATAATAATAATAATAATGAGGAGGAAAAGAAGCAGCTCGAGAAGGAAAAAAAGAAGAAGAAAAACAAGAACAAGAAGAAGTACAAGATGCAGAAGAAGACGAAGCAGCAGCATAAGCAGAAGATGAATAAAAATGTGAGAGAGAGGCACAAAAACTGGTTCACTGGGCCGGCAGAATAATAAAAAAGCTTTAGCAGCTCAAAGAAAGCGAAAGAGGGACAGGGAGGGGACAGGGAGGGAGGGAGGGAGGGAGGGAGGGAGGGAGGGAGGGAAGGGGTGAAGTAGAACAGCTGGAACTGGAAGGTAGCGAGGAAGGAAGGAAGGGAGGGGGGGGGTGAGAAAGAAGAAGAAATATAAGGGGGGGGAGGGCAAGGAAGGAAATGAGAGAAGGAGAAAAGAGAGAATAAGAGGTTGGAGGGAAGAAACAAAGAAATGAAGAAAGAGAGAAAGGAAAGGAATGGAAAATGAGACGAAGAAAAGAAAAGCAAAAGGAGAGGAAAGAAAAAAAAAGAATATCCGAGAGATAAAAGACCCAGAAAAGAGAAGAAACAAGAGAAGCGAAGAGAGAAGAAGAGAAGAGAAGAGAAAAGAGAAGAAGAAAAAGAAAAGAGAAAAGAGAGAAGAAAAGCTAAGAGAAGAAAAGAGAAAAGAGAAGCGAAGAAAAGAGAAGAGAAGGCAAAGAAAGGAAGCAGAGAGAAGGCGTCTTCGGGAACCTCGCTCCTGGAGGACCGCGGGCGTCGCAGAAGGCGTGGGACCAGCGACGTCGGCGCCGCGTCCTCAGCGAGCGAGTTTCCGGCAGCGGCTTCCGGCCAGCGAGGAGCGGCCGGCGGTCACGTGGTGTTGGGGGCGCTGGAGGGGGTTAAGGGGGCGCTGGAGGGGGTTAAGGGGAAGGGGGGGTTAAGGGGGGAGAGGGGGTTAAGGGGGAGGGGGGGGTTAAGGGGTGAGAAGGGGTTAAGAGGGGGAAAGAGGGGTTACGATAGGGGGGGAGGGGGCAATGGAGGAAAAAGTGTGTGTGCGAGTGAGGAGAGAGAGATAGACTGATAGATAGACTGATAGATAGATAGAGAGTGAAAGATAGGGGAATTGGCGATTGTAAAAGGTTAACTAAAGCGAACAATGAACATCACTTATTAAAGCAAACAGCACACTAGGCCTTCAGAACATCCCCCCCCCCCCTCTTACACACCCCGCCTGGCGCTTTTATGCCGAGAATCACATAACCCAAAGCCCTCAAGATCTTATCCCTTTCTCATTCAATAATTTACACTTCATCAGCTGAGGGGAAACATACAACGATTTAGCGATGATATTAAAAAGAATCTCTCTCTCTCTCTCTCTCTCTCTCTCTCTCTCTCTCTCTCTCTCTCTCTCTCTCTCTCTCTCTCTGTCTCTCTCTGTTCTGTCTTTCTGTCTCTCTCTCTCTTTCTCTTTCTCTCTCTCTGTCTCTCTGTCTCTCTCTCTCTGTCTCTGTCTCTGTCTGTCTCTGTCTGTCTGTCTGTCTGTCTGTCTGTCTGTCTGTCTGTCTGTCTGTCTGTCTGTCTCTCTCTCTCTCTCTCTCTGTCAATGCAGCTAAAATATATTATCTGAATGACAAAAACGAAGCCTTGTAACACGTCGGCTGTTTTGCATGGGATTAGTGCACATAGATCAGCAGCAAAGCTTGTCCTGAGTCCAAAAATCGCTCACAATTTGCGGAATGTTTCTCGAAAATGTTGGCCCGGTAGGAGTCTGCTTTTTTTTTGCCTTTCTCTCTCATTTTCTTCTCTTTCTCTGCTTCTTCTTTCTTTACTTTCTCTACGCTCTCTCTCTATACTCTACTCTACTCTAGGCTATTCTCTTTCTCTTTCTCTTTCTCTCTCTCTCTCTCTCTCTCTCTACCTCTCTCAAGATTAAGAGAAGAAATAAGTGCTAAATTAAGCCCAGAAATTCGACTACGAGGAGGAGC